CCGGTAAACCGTAGGCAGAGAGAGAGAAGAGGACAACAAACGAGGGGCTGTGACAAACTGTTTCGTCGGAGTTTATATATATATATAACGGAAACTGCTGAAGTGAAAACCGGAGCTGTAAAAACTGCAGCTGTGGAAACTGGAGCAGTCGAAGCTGCAGGAGCCAAAACTGCAGCAGTGTGGAAACTGCAGTAGCAACAGATGACCAAGCAGGAGCAGGACAAGAGGGATGCGGGGACAAAAAAGAAAGTGGATGATACAGGGGCCATCACAGCATGCGTCGGAACCACTGAGAGAGACGCGTCACATGCGTAGGATAGCGACGCTGGCGGGAGCGCATGTAGCAGAATGACCTAACCGAAGGTGTTGGCAAGACAGGTAAACACTGAGGGGTTGTCGGTAAAAGGGGTGGAGCGTGACAGCCAACGGGTGTTGGTAAGAGGGGTGATGTGTGAGAGTGATCAGCTGATATATGTATATAACATATATATATATATATATATATCTGTTTGACGATATAAAAAATCTGTATAAAATGTTAAATTTGGTAAAGAATTTCAGTGTGACCTTGAGGCGAAAGTTGTTCAGTTTGGTGGGTTCTTCTGTTCAGTCAAGCACCTTGTTTTGATGTCCTGCTTTGTAGCAAATGGGAAGCTGGAGCCTGTTTCCAGCAGGTGCAGCTCCCCACCAATAGATGGAGTCCTCTACTGGTGGGCCACTTGAGGAGCGGGCTCTTAACCAAAAAAAATAAACAAAAAAGCAAGCACTACCGTCTTCACCCGAATAGAACGCCCGGGAATTATCGCCGTATCTGGGCCGAAAGTTGTGCCAAATACAGCTATAATGACCAGGCATTCTATTCGGGTGATGACAGTAGTTAATAGCTATAGATTTGTCATTGAAACAAAGCTAAAAGAAAAGCACATCATACATTTATAAGAACATGAAAAGTTACAAACTGAAGTCTCATCTTCCTTTCTACGCACTCTCTTCTCACCTCCAACGCATCAATTTCATCTTCAAAGGTGCTGTCTGGAGCCTTCTGCCACGACCCATTGGGCAAACTATTTCCACGAAGACCAGGCATCCCGGCGTCCTTGTCGTACGATGCCGGCCCTACTGCTCCAAGTGCTTCCATGCCGAGGATAGCCCTCATCGCACGGACCATCTGAGCCATGGAGTTTGCCTGATAAGGAAAGGACGTTTAAGGAACAGGAAAGAAACAAAACAAGTAAAGGTAAGTTTCAAATTTGGAAAGGTAAGTTTCAAATTTGGAAAGGTAAGTTTGCCTGATAAGGAAAGGACGTTCAAGGAACAGAAAAGACAACGAACAAGAAAAAGAAAAAAAAAAGGTAAATTTCAAATTTGCCTAAAAAGCGAAGGAACAAGAACGAAAAGACAGTCGGATGGTGGCTAGCAGACTCACCCCCTCCCATAGAGCTATCCCCAGAAGGGTTACAATGGACAGACCCAACCACACCAATCTGCTTCCGAGGCATGAACCTCTGCACAAAAGGGTGTCACCCCACGTCGGCCGCATCCCTGATGTCGTCACGAATCAACAAAATGCACAACTGGCAAGGAATCCACACCTCACTTCTCGGAAGAGCCTTAGCCCCGAATAACTCAATCTTATCAATGATGTGGTACTCCACGTCGATATGGTTCCCCACTTTAGACTTCCAAAAGCAAATCCGCCATAGGGCAGCAGCCTACCTTTGGACAGGCAACCCAGATAAACAACATTTCATCCACAAGGTCGCATGGCAAATTGCCACCCAGTCCAAAGACAGAGGAGGGCTGGGAATTCTAGACCCGGCTCGATAGATTGAGGCTCTCCAGACTAAATGGATAATCAGACTCACCTTGCAACACAACCTACAATGGGTACCACTGGCCCTAAGTCACATCAAGGACTTGGCACCTTACATCCCCCCCCAACATATCAGGCCTCTTTTGGATATATAACAAGTCATGGCCTTCGCCAAGAGAAAAGAACAACAACAACCCCCTTCCTAATGCAGACGAGGAAACAGAGAAAGGAAACACAAAATCATTATGGGAACAACTCATCCGCATATGGAGAAAGATCTTCCCACATAATAAAACCGGCCCAAAGAAAAGAGATGTAGTCCTCAAACAACCCCCTTTGCCAATCCTTGGATCAAAGACGAAAACGGCCTCAGCTTCTCTCTCACCAAAGCAGACCTCAAATGGGGACATTGGGTAGAGAAAGGTGTATGGCAAGTGCAACACCTCTGGAATGAACCAGCAAACAACTGGAAGACTGCAAAGGATCTGCGGATCTTACTAAAAGGTTGCCACAACCTGCATGCCAACATTATTCACATCATCGAAAGCATACCTCTAGAATGGCGTCAGTTATTAAAGACTAATCAAATTTGGATGTGGGGAGAGTGGGCATCAAGCAGAGAACAAACACAACCCACAGAAAGTCACAAACAGCAACCTACAGAATAAGAACTGGATACTTTGTTCCATCCATCCCCTACAGGATTCAGGAAACCCAGCTAGTTTCATCAGCAAAGAACCAAGAGCGGAAGGGGCCTTCACATCATCCAACCTCAGAAGGATCTGGGTCATTGAAGGAGACAGAAACAGAGTCTACAGACCCGAAACAAAAATAAACCACCTAGAAATAGATCCTGCTGAATGGTCCTGGAGCAGAATCAGCCGACATTCCACAAGAGAGCGCCGCTATGCACTCACTGACTACACACCCAAATTAGGCTACAAGCTCCACAACAACCCCCCCTCCATACACACGATCATACAGAAACGATGGGAAAAGGAGGAAAATACTATCACATCAGTCAACATCAATCCATCATGGACCTCTATATTTTGCATAAGACCACCAAACTAGCTAGTCTGCTATGGCTCATAACATGTCGTGCAGTAACCGTCAATCTCTGGCTATCACAAAGAAGAAAGAAAGATAGATAATGACACCGAGCAGACATCTTGGAGCAGGGTGTGCAACGCCCAACTCCAAGAATCTCTCAACCATTGCTTCATGGATTGCCAAAAGACAAAGCAACTCCGGCACGATATGGAATTAACCTGGAACAAGCACTCTAATAAAACCATCGCGATCAACTCAGGCACCCTATTCTTAGAAGCAGAACAAGACCCACCCCTCAAAGGTTTTGGGCTTTTCTTCTTCTCACTCATCAAAAAATTGACCCTCTGGACGATGTAGAAAAGGAGATGCATAGCAACCTTCGGGGATTCTAGTAACACCCCTGAAACCCCCCTCATAGTCATTAAACATATGGTGGAAACGGAAATCCAAGCACAATGGAAAAGAACATATACGAAACTCCAGTCCCTTCAAAATGCCCCAGATAAGAAACAAGAGATCATTAATAAATTCACTTCCCTGAATGTAGGCAACGGGAAACTAGGAACAGTAGAAAGAGAAAGACCACACTTAAAGGACTGGTTAGTTATGCCCACATCAAATATCCAAAACCCTACCACTCAGACACAATCCACACTTTCAAACAACCTACCTCCCATCGCATTTAACAGGACAGACACCGATATATAAACCTTTCTATCAACCCAGCCTAACCACCTACCGCCGCACCCCCCCCAACCACCACCCACTATCAAACTTCTCCCGAACTCAACCTCACCAATCTAAATACCTTCCCATCCTTCAGGTTTCACTCCCACACCACAAACCCAACTCACCTACGTCAACCACTCCACACTATATCCTAACACCTATTACCCACCACACCACCCCCATCAAGATGAACAGTCCAAGCTCCCAGTAACAGCTCGGTCAAAGTGCCTCCTGCCTCCCAGATCACTAGCGTTTGGGGTTGTAGCTTCAGACGCTTTCTTTCAAGTAAACTTTCAGATCTTACTCCCTGAAGTTACTTCAGCTTGGTCAACACGCCACCTGTTACCGAGGGTTTAGGGTTTTTAGCATCAGACTTTACTTTCAAGGAAAACTGCTCCAAAGGGTTCCGAATTTCGAGCAAAAGGGTCCGTCACACCCACAGTTCCAGGTAAATACAGACACGTCATAGGTCCAATCGACAGTGAGGAACAGACAGAAAAGAGACCGGAACTGTCCAGCAAAGTCAAGTCGCAGACACTCATAGCTTCCAAGGAAAATAACAGCCTAGAATAGGCTAACTTAAGCAGGGGTGAAGATCGGTACATCCTCCTTCAAGGAAGTAATCAATGTCGAGCGTGAGTGAGTAAGCAATGTACTATCTTGGACTTGTCGGGGGAATAGGAACCGGACTAATGCTCCCCAGAACGGAAAAGGAGCCAGAACCATACGGTTCTGTTTGGTTTTAAAAAAAAAAAGAAAAAAAAAAAGAAGAAGATGATGAACCTTTTTTTTCTTTTTTTTTTTCCGGACAAGAAAGAAAGGACTCTCATTTAGAAGTCATGGTAGGTGCTGCAAGCAATACCCCAAGGGCGGTACCCAAGGGAGGTACCCAAAGGGGGTGTACCCAAGAGGGGTGCAAATTTCCAAAAACTATCAGGGATGTTGCTTAAGTTACTCCACGTTCGTGGTAAAAAAAAAAAAAAAAATCATGAAAAACGGGCTTGGCCGGGTTGGATAGTTGAAAAAATAGTTGCGCCAAACGGAATGCATATTTCAATCAAAGTCGGTTGTGACCCTGTAGGAGTGACATGTCAGACTTGGCAGGCAGGCCCGAAGGGTCCATTCATACGTTTAGACTCGGTGGAACTGATGGCTTAAAGCAACCAATTGGACTCCGTCTCCAAAAAGAGGATCAGAGATCCTAGGGCACAACAAATCACGAGCTGCTAGATGATCAACATCACACAAGTTAAATAGTACGAACACAAAGGGCAATTGGTGGACTCACTTTTCCCTTTCAAAGAGGAGGCCTTCCAGTTCATCTTGGTCTACACAAATCATAGCAGCAAGATGTGACGACGCCCAGAAAGACCTAGTAGTAGGGGATTGTTGGTTCACGAGGCGCTGCCTTGTGCTGCCTTGGTAACACCATCCATGACGGACAGACAAATCCTTCTGGAACACAAATCTAATTATTCTAGACCCAACCAAACACAGACTGTGAAGTGCACATAGTAACAGGGAGAGCACCCTAGCAGCAGAACCTTTGAATAATCAACCCCTCATCTTGGTGCAAGGAAGATGAGCGATAGCGAGCTTCAGAAATCAAACAGCATCATACACATGCGACCAGATAGTCGTGACCTCGAACCAATAGCAGAATTGCATCACGAGTTTCACCAAATAAGAGTACAGCAAAAGCTCATAATTGACAATGCTGGAATAGTCAAACGAAGAACCAATGTCGATATCCTATCTGGCGCTCGGCGCCCAGACTACAGATGGCAGATCCTATCTAGCCTAATCTACAATGCCGCCATGACGTCCACAGCTCCCCGAAGTACGAGCAGATCTCGGCAAATGTCGCACGCTTCAAGCACCAGGAATGTCTCTCATATCACTCACAACCTCGTTCCCCAACTCACAGATWCCACATGCACCCAAGGACCACCACGCGCCCCATCCAGCATACAGCAGCGCAGCTCGGCTATGGCTGCCTGCTCCTTCCAGCTCACCCGTGAGCGCGTGAGCGCTGGCCAGCGATAGCGCAGCAGCGCTTGCACACAATGCAGTCAGTTCCCGAATGCCGATTGCATGGGCAGGCTCTTTCCTAAATGGAAGTGGCCTGCCTGCCTCGCGTTCAGCCTGGCTGCACTGGGTCCCTGCCGAGAAGCTTCCGGTAGGCCCAGGGAGGCTGAGTCTCAGGCCAAACGAATCAGGCCCAGGGCCACCGACAGTTACCCGTGCCCAACTGCTCACAGCCTGAGTTGGGCCTATGCTGCGTATCTCGCCCAGGGCCTGACTTAGATACATTTGATAAAGGAGGCCAGGGCCTGGGCGCCTTCAACCAACTGGCGCTGCGCAACTGCCTGAATTTTCCGCAGTTGCGAAGTAGTCCAAAATAGGCCTCTTGTCGTCTGTCGAGCCTGCCTTCACTTAGGGCGGCCGACCTGTTGCAGATAGGGGCCCAGTAGGGCTTATCGAGGCCTTGTGCCTCGCATTCCCTCCTCCATACTTCGCTAATCCTCTGAGAAGTTTAGTCAATCTGGCGCTTTCCTTTCTGCAGCAACTTCTCGTAGTGGGCGACAACC